TGCATTCATATCACGAGCGATACGAGCTCGGCCCGGTCACGAATTGGCGAAACGAATGCGAGGCCATTAAGCCGGCGAGCACGCACCTGCGGGGCCACCTGTTACCCGGCCTCAGGATTGTCGCACGAGCCCGCGAAATGCCCGCCAGGCAGATTGCGAGAGACGTCAGGCGAAAATGATTAATAAGAATCGGCTCATCTGTTATACCGCGTATGCGATCTCTCCCTGGAACGCCGCCTCAATTGAAACGCGGTCGTAGAGCCGCGCGCTTGCACAATCACCACGTGTTCATTGCTCATTCTGAACCAATCAACTGTTTTGATAGATTTAAAATACCTCGTCCTGCTGATAATAAGGTCTTGAAAATAGAATCTCGTGTGCGAGGCAAATTCAGTACGCGCGGGAACATACGTACAGAAGACAGAAGTGTCTTAGAGGATTTACATTTGTATTTTAACTCGCCCCTTTGCTTCCAATTATAAATAATATAAATCCGTAATTTCCATATCGTGCCTCAAGTGGTTTATATAAAGCTTCGAAGATTACAAGAAAAATTGTGCCCTGTCAAGTTTGTGGTGTGGAATTTATTATTATTATTACTTGAGAATCTTATAAAAAAGAAAGACAATTATGGTCACAATTATTCAAGCTGCACATATCGATGCTCCTATCGGGAGGAATTTCAGTAGAAAAACGCTCGGTGGCGTTTCGATTCTGGTTGAATCCAGTGACGCAACGGCGCAAGTACATAAATAAATCCACCGAGCATATTGAACGGTTATATTTCATTGGCGGGCAAAAAATGCGAACGTCCCTCGGAAATCTGACGTCTCAATCCGTCTCTGGGATCTCGTCGATATTCCGAGCGGTCAATTAAGACATGCCTCCCAGATGTCCCCGTGTCTGGTCCTTGCGCGCACGTATACACGTCGACGACGACGACGATAAGTCGAACGGGGAAACGGTATCACGCACAACGCGGTATCTCGCTTCTGCCTCGACGGATGCCCTCTCATGCTTATTCTTCGATAATCTCTCTTCCTGCTCTGCGACTGTCTCGTTACTTACTCCTTATTTATCCGCTGGAAGATACAATCTGCCCAAGTATTCCGCCGAAGGTGAAGAAACCTGGTAAAAGCAACGGGGGAGAAAGCGAGATTCCCTAGCCACCCAAGAAGAAACGCCGTAATAATTAATATGGCAGATCAAAGGGACGATACCGATGCCCAGCGCCATCGACGAGCCAAAGAGACTCGGAATTTCCCCGAGATTCGAAGATTAGGTCGGTACGCAAATGAGTGTAGTAGGCCAGCGTATTTCATGGCCAGGGGGCATAATGAATAAAAAACTTGTCGCTGTTAGTCGATTATTCTTGAAATTGAAGATATAAATAAAGAGCTCGGGGCGATAACTGACTGAGCGAGTAAAAACCTTGTCAATCTCTTGGCGTTCATTTGCGAGTTCAATTACGACGCTGATCAAACATTCTCTTTTTTCCCATAATAAACAATGACTCTAAGGACTGCAGAAAAGACCAAGTTTTAATAATCATGGCTTCTATTATTATTCGCCTACTTATAAGCATGTTGCAATTTACTTACAACAAAATATCATAAAACAGAAGCTTTTAAAAATCACAAGACGTTTCCTCGTTGAATAATTATTTTAATATTATTTATTTCATTTTATGATAAAACCCCAAGAGAAAGCTTTTAATATTCAAATATTCTTAAAATGTGATTCCGATGGCTGTTAAACTAAATAAAATATTAGAAATTGCGCATAGCAGTCGCGAGATTTCAAATAATACGAGTCACGTGAAATGATTATCGAGGTCGGACAGAAATTGATGAGCTCTGCAATGTACGTCAGAAAAGTCCATACTGCGCGAAAGTCGGCATGATCAAAGTCGAGATGTCAGAAAATGAATTCTGAAACTGCTGTGTCAAGGGGGGCACTCGATTTTTCTGAGGAATTCGACCTCTTAACAAACGTCTCCCGGCATGGCCCTTTATTTTCTCGCGTAAAAAATACCCTTTCGTCTTTATACGGTGGATTATCGGAGCTGCACTCGCCTCTTAATAGAGGCTTTATTCTGAAACGCGATACACCTTAAAAGCCGAGAACGATAAAGACGGCCGCTTAATTTACTGCGGCTCCATAATCCCTCCAAGGTAAATCCTTCTCTCACCGAACCTTGTCTCTTTCCTCCTCTTCTTTTCACTTTGTTGTTCATCTCTCACCCTTTTTACGTCTTCTTTCGAACAAAATAGAAGCTGTGGAACGCAACATGGCGGTGATTTTACTCCCGCCTAATGGGTAGAGAGACATCGACTCGGGACTTATCGTTTTAATGGAAACCTTTATGGAGGCCACTTTAGGCGGTATCTCCGCGTGTCTGTAACGAATTCTGGGTGGCTGTTCAAACGCGCTAGATAAACTGCACTTTTCAGCTGCATAATGCGCAACCTCCACGCTCCGGTTATTGTGCTAATGGAAAAACATTCTAACAATCTTTCCGCTGAACATACCAATTTGTTTCAGGACGCTATTCAAATGGGGTCCTAAAAGCCGTCCGTAAAATGTTGCACAGTATACGAAGAACTTGCCGCAAGATATGATTTCACCATCCGTCTAAACATTTACATAAAGAATAGCGAGGGGGAAACCGCTGGCCAAAATCTTGTACACTAATGCCCAGTGGGCATTACTTCATCTTATTATCTTATTCATCTTGTTTTATCTTATTTTATCTTATTTTATCTTTATAATGCAAGGCCTAATGCCCAAACTAATGCCCTAGAATTCCCGGCAAATCTGTACACCACAATGCCCTCAGCGGTTTCCCCCTCGGAGAATAGCGTTGTGCAAAAGTTCGGTTCTGCTGAATATACAGAGGAAAGTCCTCTACTTTGAGATAAGTTTCTAATACGAGATAGCAGGTTTTCAACACCCACATTCAATCACAAATCTTTTTTCGCAACGATCACACAATCTAACAATGAATTTTCCACTAAACAGAGATTTCCCTCCAGGAGCAATAAATTCGTGGTGGAATCAACAGATGATGCCTATTAGTTTTCAGGAAACCCCGCTGTCTCATATTAGGAACTCATATAATAGGGGACTTTCCTGTATATTTTCTGATAAAAATCTATTAGAAATCTCGCGGAAGTTTATTATTCATCAGCCAATGAAACATCATTAAGACGGATGATGATCGGTTCCAAGAATTTCCGTGAAGAATACAATAAATAAAAAATATATCAATTCACATTTTAGGTTACAATTATTGGGCTACCAACATCTTGCTTGGACCTAAAGGCGCTCTCGCTTGTTGGAAATAAAAAAAACTAGGTATCTAATGAAATAGGGTGAAGTCGTTCCGCTCTTTAAGTTATCCAACAAAAGAATTTCTGTGCCTGGCACAAGCACCTGCCTATGTTTGCGACATTTAAGAGAGCAGCTGTTCGCTACGTTCACGAATAAAGTTGACAAAATTATACTATGATTTTGTAATTTATATTTTTAAATTATTACTGTATAATTTTAACAAATTTTAATACAAGTACGAACTAGAACTTTAAAAAGATATATCTCATATTGTCGTAATGTTAATCTGATCATTTCGTTAATTATTTATGAATCGACAAGGCATTGAAAGCAGAAATTATATGTTCGTATGGAACTATTGCGTTTTGTAAATATTGTTAAAATATAAAAATGCGACTGTTAAAGTAAATTATATCAATTTACGTCCTCATTTCAATCTGCTCAGAGAGACTTTTATCTCTTTCAGACTTACATGTTGTAGTTTTCTCTTTACTTTATATTGACACTTGATAAATCTTATCGAGGAATCGTAGAAGCCTGCGGAGCTGCAACTTCCGCAAACCGCGCGTGTGGTCTATTCCAAGTCGCATGTTGTGACAGGCGATAATAGATATATATATCAATGCGATAATAAACGCAATGGCGACTATCACCCAGCGGTTATCAACACCGATGTAAACACCGCACTTTATATGGGTCAGACTCTTGTGGACCACGTGTCCAAGAGCGCGTACGTAGCATATCACAATCACTATAGTAGATACACTTACACGGTCATGCGCGACGCTAGGCGCTCTCGATCACCGACGAATAGTAAGGGGTAGGGATTTTAAGAGGCGTGAGTTTCGTCATTCTCTCCTTTTCCACCTTCACCTCCAGATAGGAGAGGAAACGGTACTTTCCAGGTACTACGAGTAAAAGGGACTCTTCAGCCAAGCGACGCCCACGCCGAGCTGGCGCGCCGCTTCGCTTTCTACTTTTCTAGACGGTCCCGATGATCTACGACCGAGGGTTCTCCGCTAGGAAGAACGGAGTACGCTAGTTCCAGTTAAAAAGCTGGCTCGCAGCAACGATACGCGCTCTTATGCGCCAATAAATTATGTTACTCCCCCAACGCTAGGTCCACTGATGCTCGCAAGATTACCGTCTCTCTTTTATTACCGACATGTTCACATTCCAGAGAGACTTTGTCACTCTGGACGTGAACATTTTTGGTTATAAAAGAGAGAAAATTAATGTAATAAATAAATAAAACACCTATAGTATAAGATATCTAGACTATAGCAATTTTCAAACAAAGGTGGAATAAATATATATCTCGCGACTTGATAAGTATTGCTACTTCCCAATGGATCAATAATCATCATAAAGTTAATAAAACTAATGACAAAACTTATTTAAACAATTGTGATCGTTTAATCGTAATTGGAGAAATTACGATGATTTAACTCTCTATTACTGTTTAAATAATTTAATTTCGCACATTTTTATCATAAAAAATATCGCAGCGTTACATTTATTCCAATTTTATGTATGAAAACGAAGAATTACGATCAAATATCCACGTTTAGTGTCGGAAATAATGTTCAAATCGATCGTAATTCCACTTTCGCAACTTCCCCTCCCATCCCTCTCTTTCTCTTTCCGAATGGAGCCGTAAAACTCACTTTTCCCTTTGACGAATTCGGTTGAATTGACATCTGTAGAACTCGGTTGAATTAACGCATCGTAGTTATCGGCGACGATCAGCAGGAGGAATGTCACGCTGAGGAAGTTGCAGGTCAACAGCGCTCGTGGCCCGTGTCGGTGGTTGAACATGATGAGCTTTCATGCCCTTCACGAACCCGTAGGCCTTGCCAAGGTGAAGATTCCCTCTTCTGCTTCGTGGGCTCGTCGATTATCACGAACAAGGAGAAGATCGGAGGCACTTCGGAGAACTGTTTCCGCCGCTGCCATCGCTCTCCCTTCTTCACCATGCATGTCACATGTCGGGCATTAAAGTCATCACGAGTGTCTGTAATGAGAAAAATGGCAATCAGTGGAAAAGTAGCGCACGACGTTAAGAGCATCGCATTTGCGTTTGGTCAGCGCGACTCTCTAATCGCCCAGCGTATTTCTTACGCTTGGTCTCTCTTTGCATTGAAAAAACGGAGAAACGGTGCCGCAAGACTCATTTACCTACGTTTCGTTCACTTTCTTTTTTTTTTACTGTGCGCCAGCTACGTCCTTGCGAGTCTTGCGCTCTATCGCAAGATATTTCAGGCGGGAAGAAAAGTCGAAGACGCCGGAGGTGACGAAGGTTTAAACAATTGCATTTAGAATCAAATGCTCGGCGAAAATACGATTATACCTTTTTTTTTTAATGCGAATATCAAGCGCGCAGATGAAACGCGTGGAAGAGAATCAGTATAAATCATCGCGCGTTGAAATCTCTGTTATTTTCATTAGCACTGCTCAAGTGTTTGGCGAGTTACGCGTGTAAATCAATAACTATCAGCCGCTAAAATGAGTTACGCTGATTGGCGTGTTTGTAGCACGCGTTTCTAATCTACCCTGCAACGATATTCATTATATTGATCTGAATAATGCTATGCATCCTTTATCACATCCCACCACGTAATATGTGTTGCATGCTGTATACTGTGCTCTGATGAAGCCCGACAGAATCGCAAATAGGTGCGCTCGCTTCTCGGGCAAACTATTAATTTCAGGGCAATTTTAAGTATGAACCGAGTTAATCAGCATAATACATTTATTTTTAGAAAATATCCATTAACGCTAGCGACGATATCAAATATTAATTTCGCGAAAATCATTGCTCCCTAATTAATTATAACTGAAAACATTAATGCTCATTCCGTGTGATGAGCAGAGGATTAAAAATTGTAATTGAATCTTACGCTTTTCTCGTGCAATCCGGTTCTCATTAATTTAATCTGTATCGACATCAAATGGTTTTTATACTCTCCACCCCTTAATTACAAAAAAGCGTGTAGCTGTAGTGTGTATGAAAAAGCATTCGCTCGTCTCTTAGACTGGTAGTGTTGTGTCATCGCCTCGTTTATGGAGCAGCCTCGACGGAGTGTATCGCACTAGAAGACGGCAAGGGAAAAAGTAAGAAACGAAGGAGAGAAAGACGAGGGGATGAAGGCGAGGAAAGAAGGGGCGAAGATCGAAAAAGAGAGGAAGACAATGCAGCCTAACAGCAGGTGTCTGCTCGTCTGTTCGTTTCTCTCTCTCTCTCTTTTTTCCTCTCGTCTCCGTCCCTCCCTTTCGTCGCGATTTCATCCAGGGAGATCATCCCGGCACTCACTCTCAGCTCCATCTTTGTTCTTTCGCACTCCCCGCGGAGTGGCGAACACGGGTTCGCCTTATTCGGATGCAACAAGCAGGAATCAACTTAAACAAATGACGTCGAACCGCTCGTGCGCGCGCGCGGCGGCAGTTCGATTGCGGGTGTCTCATTAAGGTTGCCTCTTCGGGTCGTCCCTATTAATTACGATCGATACTCGACGAGGAGCCGTCGGCGACGAGACGCCCGATCGTGTCGCCGGTGATAGTGCTATGTGTTTTCTCTCCGCCCTCCTCGGTCGTCGCGGTACCACGCTGTCTGCCAACGAGAAAGACGTGGGAGACCCTGGAGTACTTGCTCGGATAACAGCGATCGTAATACATCGCGTACGCAAGTCCGCACATTTCCGCAAACCGATACACACCCATAAGGAAACCGAGGAAATCGACTTAATAATATACTAACATGCTTGCACTCTAGTGTATATAGAAAAATTTCCTGCTATCTTAATGAGCTTTATAGAATTAAAGAATTCGATATTTTCAAGACAATTTTGTTACTATACAGAATAATGAACATGTTTCTGATTGCATTTGTAAATCGCGGGGATTTACATATAGCACTGGTGGGGCTTCGTCGGACTTACGAAGACACTGTACGGATTACGAAGCTGCGAACCGGTTCCAGACATACCGTTCGAATGGCGGAATTAACCCGACCTCAAAGGACTGGGGCGCCGTCGACACTTTGCTTAATTGCATGGCCGAGACTTGCAAATTTTTATCGTTCGTCTCAGAGAACTTTAATCATATCTTTATAGCTATTTCTGATCGCGACTGTGACGCAAAATGCACGTGTAGCATAAATATATTTTACATCTTCTTGTTGCTCGTCTTGCGATTTTATGAGTCTGTATAAAGTGCGGAGAATCAGGCAAAAACTTAAACTTAATAAAGAAAGGTCCCCTATTACGAGGCAAGTTTCGAATATGAGTTAACGGGGTTTCTGTTAAACTAATAAGAAAAAGATTTGTTATTGAATTTGGACGTTGAAAACCTGCTGTGTCACATTAGACGCCTATCTCACAATAAGGGATTTTCCTCTGCATATGTAACAAGAATAAAGACTTACTGTCACCAGTAAATATAATAATTAATCAATGTAGGAAACTAATGATCGACACGACTGGCAAATTCTAATTAAAGAAGTGCGAAAAACATTACCACCCTGGTTGAGTGAATGTTTTTCGCAATGAATTTCTTTAATTAGAATTTGCTCAGTCGTGTCGATCATTAGATTCTTACATTGGTTAATACATGTAGCACTTTTATAATCAGAGATTAATATAATAATTTTTTCTTCAAGACAGAAAGTATACTTTATTACTGTCGTAAGTATCGTCGAACTAGTGATTGCTAAATATATTATAGTATTAAAGAGGTTGATTATTTTTATTACGTAATATAAGAAAGATAATTTCAAAGAACGACAAGACAACAATGACAGGAGACGAACATTTTTTTTAATACCAGATAAAATCTAACGAAGTGTCACGATTATCTTATATAACTTGCATAATAAGAACTTGTCAATATTTTCGCATTGTGGGGGGGAAAAAAGCATTTCTCCTTTTCAACTTGCGAAACGTCTCGCTTCAGTGCTGAAATTTCTCCGTGATTAAGAAAGCCACGAAATATAATTATTTTGAGTCACGGTATAAGAAAGAATAAAATGGCTCCGATTACTAACCATTGTCCGATCGTAACGGTGTAACGTAAGTTGTAAACAATATTCACGCGGCTATCACGTCACGGCAAATGTATTTTACGTATCATATCTAGATACCAAATAAAGATCGTTTTCAATTAATTTTTTAACAAGTACTTACAATGTTTTTAATTGAATGACAAATACTACGTATGTGACTTAGAATATTACTTTCGTACAATGTCTAGTATTTTCATTACGGATTTTTCAATTAGTCATTCAAGCTGTCGTAAGAACATAATACAATGTATTTAAATATAATAAAAATAGTAACAGAAGTTTCCATTTTTATTTACTTCCTCTCGTGTATTTCTTCAGTTTTTAATTACACGTTGTAATATTCATTTAATGTCTTTATTTAATATAAGATATTTCATTTTATGCAAAAGGTCGTTTTTTAAAAATAATTCTCTTCACTTTCCATATATTAACATGAAATTTCTTACTAAGAAGTTTTCTTCGTAATTATCAGCTTGTGTTGCAAACAGCACAAATTATTATTCTAAGCCTGATCGTGTTAAATCCCCAGACAAAATTACAATTTAATGCAATGCAACGAAAACAGGCCTTCTTTCGTTTTTCGTCTTGCATAAGCGAAACGCATTTGTCACTGTTGCACCAAACAGATCAGTATGCTCTCTTCGATACTTGTCAGTGACTAATCGCTGATCGTCTGAGGCGTGTCCGCTCCAGGCCTCGTTAACTTTTCTCAACGTGTACCTGCGTAATCTACCCTTTCCTCATACCTGATCCGATAAGAAGTAAACGTCGAAGGCGCCCTGCGAAAACGACGTCGGCCACGGCAGCGCCGTGCACTCTCGCGTTTGTTGTTTGCAAACTGGCGTATATGCACGGACCGCACGGGCTTTTTATCAACGTTTACAAGGGGAGATTAAGAGGCGCGGTTCTCCGTGTAGCGAGACATGCCCCTAGTGAGAACCGCTGTTAGAATATGGAAGAAACGGCGCGGCAAGAAATCTTTTCTAAGGAACTGTTAAATTTATATCAACACCCTGAACCAGATCTCTAGTACATCGTCTTATTCGGAAAACTGGGCATTCCGTGGACTACGCGTGAAACTTTTGGTCCATCTTCATTTATTCAACGCCTTTGGAAAATTAGCGAATACTACTTTCATTACTCTAAATTTTTGTCAAAGAATTTAAATGTCTCACGTCACACATATCGACCGATCTCTTTCGCAAGGTCGTATCTCGCTTTTTGCGCTTAACCCTTTGAAGCACGGTGGTAACCGACGCTACCACCTCAACTTAGTACAACATAGTACATGCGCAACAATAATAAGGCATCGTCAACGGTACAAAGGATTCGAAGGCATTTAAAAAAGATAAGGGGAGAAAGCTCGTTGGTCGGAAAGAAGTCCGGAATTTTTCGTTGCCAAGCCTGAGAAGTCCTGCTCGAAGAGCGAGAGTAATGCAGAGCATCGTGGACGGCGAGGAGTTGGAGAAACAATAAGAGAAAAAGATCATGCGACGACATCGATCGTATATATCGCGAGGACCTACGTTCCTCGTCCTTCGTCTTTCTGACCCTCATTCCCTCCGTCTCCTCGCACGGTCGGACTCGGGCACAAAAGCGGTGTCCTTTGAGGGAGGGTCCGAAACAAAAAAAAGAGCCGGTGAACACGGCATGCAACCGTGTTAACTGCGCTGCTTATGCATTCATATCCTTGTTTCGCGACAACCTGCTGATTGTTTCCACAAAACGCGACAACCCCCTTGTAGCCGTGTGTCCAGGCCGGTTTTTCGGCGGATTGTGAGGGAGACGCGGCCGTAGGTGCCGCTAAGGACGCGCGAGCCCGCCGGCAAAAAGGATCAATTTGTATGCGGGTGAACGTTCCCCATTTCTGTCGCCGTTCTTAACAGTGTCGGCCGTGTAACGTTTGCACGACAATGGTGACGGCGAGATATAAGGGCACTCAAGAAATGCGCGTG